TGAATGAAACCTAGATACAAAGAATTTATGGTATTATTATCATTAACTGAGATGGGGGATACAGAGGAAGACCAGGCTTGGGACAATATAGAAGGAAGATCACAAATTCAGTTTTGAGCAGGTTGAGTTTGAAAGTCTTTGCAACATACCAGTACAGATGTTGAGTAGGTGATTATATATACAGGCGTGGAGTCCAGAGTAGAGGCCTGTATTGGAGATATACATTTTGGAGTCATACCTGCATAAGGCATAACCAAAACCATGGTCATGGACAAGGCTGTGTAAGTAGAAGACTCAAGAGTGAGAAGAACAGAGCTAAGGACTGCAGATTGAGGAGCTCCCACATTGAGAGGTGACATGAAAGGGAATGAGTAGCCAGAGAACTGAGAAACAATGGCTCAAGAAGTTGGAAGAAAATCACGAGGATGGTCTGCTGTAGCCGACAGTGTAAGCGTCATCCCCATCTTAGTCCAATACTAAAGTCAATTGCTACTTTAAGGTTTTTGTTTTTAATTTTTTTTTTAAAGTTTTAGGTCTGATTTTATGCAATTTCAGAGTAGACCTAGAAGCCAGCGTGGCTTTCAAAGTATCCAGGATGGAGTGGGGGTGGTTGTTGGAGAGAGAGACAGAGAGACAGACAGAAAGAGAAGGCACAGATAATGGATGTTGAGTAGCCAGTACTGGTAATGGGAGCTGTGATTCCCACTATTTCCCTGTGGAACCATTTCCTGGTTTCTCCCAGCTAGCAATCCTTTCTCTTGGATCAGCCCAAAATTACCCTGGCAAGGAAGAAAAGGATACAGGATGTGAAAACTGGGGAGAGACAAAGGGGAAGAAGTAATCTTTATGTTAGATATATGCCATGCAATTTGCATTTGTGGTTGGAAGTGTTTTTCTGACCCATTCTCACCTCATGTGAGGAAGTGGGTCTTTTAACATAATAGCATATAGCAAAAATTAGAGGTAGGTTTGTTCCTTTGGCTCTTCAGAGGGAAGAAGCAGGACAAAGAGGACCTGTTGGCACAGGAGGCAGCAGCTAATCAAGTCACAACCCTGAAGGGAAAGGGATAGAAAAGGAAGGTGGAAGGGAGACTCAGCAGTGACTGGAGGGGTAGGGGCATGGGAAGGATTTCTAGGGGCCTGGAGAAGAGAACAAAGAAGTATATGAGTCATCCTCTGGACTATGAGGATATTTGGGATTCATTTTTTCTTTATGATTAAGCCTATATGCCTTTGCATTCACGGTTGCCCCTCATGCCCAGGGTTACAAGTATATCATCTCAGACAATCTTCTTATGAACCCTGTAGATAGTCATGACAATTCCCCATTTCAGAGAAGTTAATGACTTGCCCAAGGTAGAAAAGCTAGAGTGGCACTTCCGAGTTTTAAGTTCAGGCCTGTCCAGTTCCAAATCCCATGCTCTTTTCTCCATTGTTGTTGTTAGGTGCCATCAAGTCAATTCCAACTCATAGTGACCCTTTGTACAGGAGAATGAAACAATGCCTGGTCCTGGGCCGTCCTCACAATCTCTGTTACACCTGAGGCCATTGTTGCAGCCACTGTGTCAATCCGTCTCATTGAGTGTCTTCCTCTTTTTTGCTACCCTCTACTTCACCAAGCGTGATCTCCTTCTCCAAGGACTAGTCCCTTTTGACAACATGACCAAAGTAGATGAGACGAAGTCTGGCCATTCTCACTAAGGAGCTTCCTTCCAGTTGCACTTCTTCCAGGATAGATTTGTTCATTCTTCTGGCAGTCCATGATATTTTCAGTATTCTTCACCAACACCACGATTCAAAGACATTGGTTCTTCTTTACTCTTCCTTTTTCATTATACACCTTTCACATGCATACAAGGCTATTGAAAATACCATGTCTTGGGTTAGGTGCACCTTGTCACTTTGGTGACATTTTTGCTTTTCAACATTTTAAAGAGGTCTTTTGCAGCAGATTTGTCCAGTGCAATACTACATCTCATTTCTTGACTGCTGCTTCCATTGGTGTTGATTGTGGATCCCAGTAATATGAAATCTTGGACAACTTCAGTCTTTTCTCTATTTATCATGATCTTGCTTATTGGTCCAGTTGTGAGGATTTTTATTTTCTTTCTGTTGAAGTGTAATCCATACTGAAGACTGCAGTCTTTGATCTTAATCAGTAAGTGCTTCAAGTTCTCTTCACTTTCAGCAAGCAGGCTGTGTCATCTGCATGTCACAGGCTGTTGATGAGTCTTCCTCCAATCCTGGTGCTGCATTTTTCTTCAAAGAGTCTAGTTTCTTGGATTATTTGCTCAGCATACAGATTGAATAAGTATAGTGAAAGGATACTACCTTGATACACGCTCTTTCTGATTTTAAACACTTGTTCCTGGAAGTAAAAATAATTTTTAAAAATCCCAGGCCATTTATCAGAGATTGAGATTCAACAAATATAGGGTATGTTTTGGGAATATATATTTTCCAAAATTCTCCCAGGATTCTGATGATTTCCTAGGTTGGGTTCTACTGACCTCCATCCTGACTGAAGAGAATAAATGAGGTACATTAAAATAGACCATGGGGAATT